AGGTGATATATTAATAGTGTTCAAAGAAAAGGTCTTTAAACTTGCAATTCAATGTTTCTTGTTGCCACGATGATTTAATAATTTTTATATACTTTCTTTTTTCTGACACTTGGGGTGGCGCTATCTACTATTCGTAAATAGTATTTAAATGACATCTCAAGGGCCACAGTAACTAAGAACTACACTCTCTAAATCTTAATTTTCTCTTGTATGCAATGAAATATTGTGCAATTGCATTTGCTTATTCGTTATTATATTTTGCAAGTGTTTTCAAAAGTAAAACGTTGCAATATCAGCTTCCTTCATCAGACGCGTCTCCATCCGCAGACCAGCCCGGCGGCCCCGCGCCCCAGCACCGGCTCGGCGGACGTCGCGGGCCCAGCGCCGCCCTGCTTAGGTACGTCTTCTATGGTTGTGCATGTGGGAAGTGCTTTCTTTATTTAGATAATTGAGAGTTACTCGATTCGCTGTTGCAGTATGGCTGAAAGATAACCAAATTCCATTATAATTTTTACCATTAGAAAAGGGCACTAATGATACCCATGTGTTTAAGTGGTTGTGTCACTATCGCTGAATTTTGGACATTGCCAATGTGTAATTTAAAGGATTTGTTTTTCAATAATGAGCATCAAACTTGACGTGCTTGCCAGATCTTCTGATGATACATTATGACAATTTATAGTTTTGAATTTTAATCCATGATGCAAGTGTTCCACCTGTGTGAAATGCTAAATTTGAGAATGTGTTTATTTTAAATATTATATATGTATACATAGAAAAAAAATACGTGCCCATATATATATATATATAAATGGACTTAACAGCTAGCAAAGAGTAAGTGGTCACCGATGCTCACTGATACTCGTGACCAAAGAGGAGTTGCTAGCTCTTGGTTGAAAAGGATATCTAGTAAATGGGAAGTAGAGTAATGGAGGAAGAAGCGGAACCATGGAGAAGGAATGAGCTACCAAAACCTTCACTCATTGGATGACCGCAACAGCGGACACTGTTTCTTCCTGAATGTTTTCCAAGAATGCATTTTACTGGTTAACCCGGCCCATTTTTGTTCTGTAGCCAAGTTGCTCAACAGCCAAGTAGCCAAGCATGACTCAACAATTAAATTTCCAATAGAAACTATTTTTAATGATTGAATTTAAGTTTCATGATTTTTCATACAATGGTAGCCCAATCTATTGGTTATAAATTGGTGAAATAACCACATGGAACATCGCCGATTGTCACACTCCAAACTACAATTGAGATTTGGACTGATATTAAGACATCCTTTTAAGGGTATAGTTACACACTTGATACATATTCTATGCCAAAGCTTGAGTCATTTTTAAGAAGGTCGTAGTCAGACGCAAATGAAATTGAAATAAATTGCACTAGATGATGCTCACTTTTAAATGGTTTTTATCAAGACCTATAAAGTTTAAGGTTTTGTCATGTGTGCTAGTGGTGATTTAAAACGCCCATGTTTTTTTTTTTAAATCTTTTAGTTTCTCAATTTGTTTGTCTTGTCCAAACTATTTCATAAATACAAATTACTCCATCCAAAATGAGGCCCCTACACTTGCAAAGTTATCTTTGACCCATTTGATAATCGTTAGGTGTGACCATATTGACATTGCCAATAGTACATGTTACTGCGCGCTAATCACGCCACGAATGCGCACCTACATCAATTTATTATTTGCTACAACTGCGTCTCATACAAGTACTGGCAAACATTCACAAATGTTTTATTTGCCCAACACCTACGACAAATGTTTGAATAACATTGGTATAAAATTACTTCTCAATATAGTTTCATTGTTCGACCCTTGTTAGTAATGTGGTTTTGCACTTATTAGTTGTGCAACTTATTGTTAAGAATCCTAACATATGTTATTTATATCATATATCCTAGAATTCTCTGTTGGTCTTGTGATTCCTGCGGGCCGACAGGACATGTCACTGGACGTGAATTTGGCACTACAATGCAGCTGTTAGTACTGCTTTGGAAAGGGAATGTACGGAACAATTTTTATATTGTATAATTGTTGAACTTATACTAAATTATATATTTTTTTATGAATCTACATACATCTCAAACTATCCGAGGCTCTCTTTATGTTTTCATATTTCGCATGTTTTAATTAATGATTTTGTGTTACTTTGTTTATATATTGTATGTGTTGAGGCCTCTAGATTGAATAAAAGTGTATTTTTACTCTTCACAGTACCTGTCCATTCAGAGGGAGTGCCACCTACAGAAGTGGAAGACAACCACTGTGTGAAACATTCTGAAATTTTGGCTGACTCCGGTTCCGTGCTGCACTCGGCGGGGGAGGAAGATGTTTATTACGGAGTATTAAGTGAGCAGAATTCAGATCGCTCTGACAATGAATATACTTCTATGGGCCGATTAAAGGAAGGTCAGGATGTGTATTGTGTTGGGCCAACGGCTGAGAGTGACTTAAGCAGCTTAAAAATACACATACGCACTCACACGGACGAAAAACCGTACAGGTGTAAGCTGTGTGTGTACAGTGCAACTTTACTGGGGCAGTTAAAAGAACACATGCGCACTCATGTGAGTGAAAAACCATATAAGTGTGAGGAATGTGAGTACAGCGCGTTTCAGTTAAGCAAATTAAAAAGACACATCCGTTCACATACAGGCGTAAAGCCATACAAGTGTGAGGTATGCCAGTATTGCGCATGTCAGCTAGGGCATTTAAAACGACACATGCGCATTCACACGGGCGAAAAACCTTATAGATGTGAGGCGTGCGAGTACAGTTCGTCTCGATTAGAGCATTTGAAAAAACACATGCGTACCCATACGGGCGAAAAACCGTATAGGTGTGAGGTGTGTAAATATAGTTCGTCTCGATTAGAGTATTTGAAAAAACACATGCGCATTCACACGGGCGAAAAACCGTACAGCTGTGGGTTGTGTGAGTACAGTGCATCACAATCGAGGCATTTAAAAGAACACATACGCACTCACACTGGCGAAAAACCGTACAGGTGTGAGCATTGTGAATACTGCGCATCTCAGCTAGGACATTTAAAAAGACACATGAGCATTCATACGAGCGAAAAACCATACAGGTGTGAGTAGTGTGAGTACAGTGCGTCACAACTAAGGCGTTCAAAAAGACATCCGCACTGCCACTGGTGAAAAACAGTAAAGGTGTGAGCAATGTGAGTACTGCGCATGTCAACTTGTACATTTCAAAAAACACATGCACACTTATATTGGCCAAGTAGTGTGAGTACAGTTCACCTCAGCTAGTCCATTTATATAATCGTATGGGTGAAAAACCATACGGGTGGGAGCAATGTGTGTACAGCTCATCACGGCTAGTCAATCACGTGTGAGTATAATTACTTTTAAGTACACATGTGTACTCATATGGGCAAGAAACCTTATAAATGCGAATAGGGGGAACATAGTACATCTGGAAGGAGTAATGGAAGTATTGTATTGTATGAGGTGTTAATTCGCGGAAATCCATAGTAGACGCTTGCCTGCAACATGTATTAACATGCAGCATGCAACCCACAGTAATGGAAGAGTAATGGAAGTGCACATGTCTATGCATTGTGAGTATACTGTACATGAATTATGCAGTTTGAAAATACACTGGCGCACTTAACTAGTGAAATATCATATACTACGAACGTTGCCAGTACAGTGCACATCATTCAGACAATTTAAGAAAACACTTGCGCATTCATAGATATTCGAGTTCTGGCGGCTCCGAAAGATTAGCATAAATAATTCCTTTCTAATAATTCATCCATCTTTTAAATTGCAATCGGGGGATTCATTTTGGCATTGCAGCTACATAGCTACATATCTATCACCTCCATTCAAATTTTAATTGCGCCACTGGATAGCTAAAGCATCAAAGAATTCGTTACACTACGCGAGAATTTTGACGTGGCGCCCGGGCAGATGGGGGCGCGATTTTGAGGTCATTTTGCTGCGTTTAAAATTTCAGTTTAGCATAATTTTAGACTCGATGAAGCTACGATGTTCGTTTAAGTTTCAATCGCTAGCTCTCGTCAAAATCTATCGATTGTACACATAGAACATTAATGTAAAATAATTACAGTGCATATAAATATGATGTTAAAATAAAAAATATATATAATCCTAAATATATAATGTCAGCCTATAAGCATCTAAAAGCCAAATCCAAAGACAGAGATTGTATACGTTTGGTAAGGGCTTCTCGAGAGCAATCGGCTGATACAGATAAAACACCATATGACATTATGAAGAAACGCTGGGAACGTAAAAGAATGAGCGGATCACTACACCTACTACACTACGCCACTACGTTTCCAGCTGGGGCGACTGAGGCTACGCAAGTGGATGATGTAACCGCTTCTAAATCGACCCTGGACTGTATAGACAATTATCAGCTAACACCGATTATTAAAGACACATTTAGCAGCAGCTAGTTCACGTTCCGTAATTATGTTTTAACTACACAAAATCTTAAGGACTTCTTACCATTAAAAAATAATTACAAATGTATTTTATAAATTGAATAATAACAATTAAGTCAATTAAAACGTTTGAAAATAAATAATATAATATACATTTCTGTTATTATTTATTAAAATTCGGAAAAAAAGTATGAAGCAGCGTCATCTGTTTATTTATTAAAGAAGTGTCATTTTGCACAATTATGACATCAATAATAGGTGTCACTTTCACATATTTGTATAAGTACTTATTGAATGCTTAAATTGAATACTCCAGAATAAACAATCCAAGAGTTTCATTTAATATTTTAGGAAAAACCAAAAAGAAAATATAAATGATGTACAAGTGCATTGAAATAGATTAAAAAACCTTTAAAAGTAATGAAATAAAAAATGCCACTAAATGAAGAAATTATTAAAATATAATAAGAATCATAATTAATATTTTATTATAATTTAACCATAAAAAGGATATAATATCAAAACAAAGTCAACATCACGCGGAGCCACCAGGCGGTTACCCATCCGAGTACCGACCGCACTCGATGCTGCTTAACTTCGGTGATCGGACGAGAACGGCCGGTCTGTCGCCTAACAGCAAACAATTAGCAACAGACAAAAATTATACAATTATTGCTGTCAAACAACTAGATTTAAGATGCGTATTACCGACACGATTGTATTGCTGTCGCTAGGGCACTGGTCGTTCACTGACGCGTATATAAAGTATGGAAATTAGCGACACTCGCAATCGCGGAAGCAATCGGTACTAATTTACTAACGTCAAAGTAAATTAGTCGCCAAACGTCATCGAGTTTTTTCCACTGTACTTCGTTAGCTTTAAACTTTTTGAAATTTGAATTATATTGTTGTCTATAGTAGTGTGTAGCTAGTAGCAAAAATATATTGCCTATTGTATATATTGTAGCTGACTATACCTTTGCATTAATGTGTTTTAAACTGCTTAAACTATTACACTTTAAGTTAAAAAAAAATAGTGAATACGAAAATTGATAAATACTACTCTACGTAAATAAATATTTATATATGAACATAGGTAAATAAACAAATATTTATGTACATAGGTAAATAAATACATATTTATGGTGTGGTATGGACGTTGCCAAACGAGTTTATAAGAATGTTAACTAAACAACAGCGATCAGCATTCTGCGTTGCGGACACTTTTTTTCGTGTAGCTCCTCCGCCCAGGGCTGAGTGTAACGCGCGATAAGGAATTTCGTTTATTATCGCTTTAGGGCAATTGGAAATTTACGTAAGTAGAAAGAGATTATATGAACTTTATGAGGCAAGAGCTTATAATAATTGTGAAACTTTTACGGAAAATGTTAGAAATTATGTAATAATATTTAAACTTGTTTGCGTGGCAGCCAAAGCCAAATACGTGAACAATGAAATAAAAAATGGTAAAAAGCTATTCCGAAGTAGCTAAACTGTATCAATTGTTTCTATAAAAATTGGTTGCCTGTAAAGTCGGTATACGGGCGAAAGTTTTACGTGACAACGACTTTGAGTGGTAAAATCATTTTAATGTGAATATTCATTCGTATAGTAGGAAGAAGGATGAAATAATAGTAACAATTTAAAACATTTATTTATACAAAGAATTATATTTAAAACATTAATTTATACAAAGAATCTCGCACTGAATTTCATATTAACAAAATTTTATTTTTACCTTTACACATACATACGTATTTATATACAAATATACATACAATAACTTGCAATACATTTCGCTCTTAGGCAACTGTGCTCGAGTGGAAGGGACGCGTGCCTTTCACTTTTATGTCTGTCTCTCTCGCTCTTAGGCGGGCTAACCATGCCCGAGTGGAAGGGACGCGTGCCTCTCACTCGCTCTCATTGTGAGCGCATAACGTGAGCGGAGCGTAACGCAGTTTCTTGAAGTGTCACCCGGCAAACCAATTTATAAGACGTTGTCACGTCAAAAGGCAAAGAAAGCGAGCAGAGGAGTCGTAATGAGCGGGAATGACAAAAATATAGACGACGACATTGACTTTGCACTGTTCTTTATTATTACGAGAATGTGTTAGGATCTATGGTATCGGTTCAAATTCAAATGGGTGCATTCAGAAAAGGTAAAAACATTTAATTCGTTGGGAGTGGAGAAAACGTCTGACCCTCATGGTATTTCTGTTACAATTATAAACTCTATCATTGACTAGTGCTTATTTTTAGTAAATGTTTAGAGATTGGTATGTTTCGCGATTTGATGAAAAAAAAGACAGTTATTCCATTATTTAAAGGCGGTAGTAAATCAAATCTCACAAACTTTAGAACTGTATCTGTACTGTCGACACTAAGTAAAATCTTTGGAAAACTGATTTTAAGTGAATTACTAGTACATTTTCACACTAATAATTTAATGTACAAAAAAACGAATTCTGATTTACCCGGGGTCACTCAACAATCGACGCCGGTGTTGAGTTTTTGACGTGACAACGTCTTAAATTAGGTTGCGGCTGGGAGTCACTTATGAAAAATGTAACGCTCGGTAACGTTACGATGAGTCACCGAACGAGAGAGAGGCCCGCCGAATGCCTTGCGTCTCTCTCCACTCAACTATGATCGGTCTGCCGCGCGCAGCACTAGAGAATTAGTGCATAGCTTGCAAATGTATTGCAAGTTATTGTATGTATATTTGTATATAAATACGTATGTATGTGTAAAGGTAAAAATAAAATTTTGTTAATATGAAATTCAGTGCGAGATTCTTTGTATAAATTAATGTTTTAAATATAATTCTTTGTATAAATAAATGTTTTAAATTGTTACTATTATTTCATCCTTCTTCCTACTATACGAATGAATATTCACATTAAAATGATTTTACCATTCAAAGTCGTTGTCACGTAAAACTTTCGCCCGTATACCGACTTTACAGGCAACCAATTTTTCAACAAAGTTTTGGAGCCTGGGAGAATTCGCGGGATGCAGTTGAAGTATTTTGCGATCTCTCACAAGGTTTTCGATTATGTAAAATCACGAAACTTTTACCGGGAAACTGCAATATTATGGAGTGACGGGGCGGGCACTTGGACTTCTGAAGTCGTATTAAAGTAACTGGGTACAGAGAATTGATGTCAATGACAAGAGGTCGTCTGGCTCTGTGATCCACATGGAGGTACCACAGTGATCAATCCTTGGTCCCTTTTTGTTTTTAATCTGTAGTAACTATTATTGCAGCCTTACTGGAAATTTTCGTGAGATAGCAGTTTGCAGATGAATCAACATTGTTATTTAAATTGGAAAGGTAATTCGCTTAAGAGGATGTAAACATTATTATCTGGAAAGTAAAGAAATGGTTTACTGTAAATAACCTACTTCGTAATAGAAAGAAAACGAAATGTATAAAAATTGCGCTTCCAAATGTGACCCTCAGATCCGGAACTATTTTAGTACGAAACCAGGTTTTAGATTTGGTTACATTCTTGTATTCCTGGGTATCACTCTAGAAAAAAAGACTTCAATGCGGACCTCACATTGATAAGTCGGTGAAAAGGCTTAACTCTACTGCGTATGCAGTTAAAAAAAATACGAAATTTGTTAGATGTAGAAACTGCGAGACTTTTTGGTTGTTTTCTTAACCTGAAGACTTATAGCATTTTATTCTAGGGACATGCCGCAGATATACACAGAATTATCGTGCTGCAGAAGTGGGCCATTTGGGAAACTTACAAACGGACCTAAGAAATGAATTTAAATAAAATGGGATCCTAATTTTGACATCTCCGTTAATACCCTACGGAATCGATCATACATCTTTCTTGGAACAACTTTTTTAGAATCTTCTCTTTAGAACAACTTTTCCAAAGAAACCATAGTCATCGGTCTCTGCGAAAAATAGCCCAAAACTTAAATGTATGAAGTACAACCCTAGTGCTTAGTAACACAATGCACGCGCCTTGACCCGCACATTCTGACATCCGAGGTTCGCATGCGGCGGGCGACGGCAGGCAGTGTCTAGTGAGGCCGCCGCGTGCCCAATAAACATTAAGTTTACTATATTGACATTTCATAAACTAAGATTGTGTGTGATTAATATTGAAGTGTTTAATAACAACGCCTTTCACTGATATCGAATATGTAAACATGATTTAATGTTGGGGAGTTTACAATATTTATAAATTTAAGGAAGTATTTATATTTTTAAACTGAAATTTTCTTTATGTATCTTAGGGTGTAATATAAGCCCACGTCTCTATTTTAATATTATTTAATTTATGTATAATGTACGTCACTTAAATTGTGTTCTTGTTTTATTGTTATTTTCAATGCTCAAGTGTATGATTACTGATTAATAAATAGTGAGTATAAAACATATAAATATTTTCATGTGGAAATATGGTTTCTTGTTTATATATGGAATAATTGTTTTTTTTATTTACCATAAGCCTATAAAATCGTTTTTAAACACAATACAGTGATTGACATTACAAATAGCTTGAATGTTGTTGAAGTGAGTGATAATGATATAAAGAATGACGTATTTAATACGGATATCATATATAGAGATAACAAAATTGTATAATAAAATTAATTGTATTCATATATAATACAGGGCTTGCGCACTTCATATTTTTTGATAGTAAGTAAATTATATGAAAATGGGTATAAATGTTACTTGGAGTGCCAATAGATGTCAAAACCATACTATATAAACAGTTTTTTATTTATAAATCATGAAATTTTAATTTATGGTGCAGCAATCAGTTTGAACATCCAAATAAACTATTGTCGTATAGTTTTAAATATTCCCTTCTGTCGGCTGTCCTCATGACTTCTTGGCTCTTTTTTTTATTTATTCAAATATATTAATATTTATAATTGTTAAATTATCCCAAGTTGCTTAAGGATGTTGAGATATACATTCCAACAACGTAATTTATGGATAAATTTAATAAAAGTAAGTGACAATAGTTGTAAAACATGTGTCTATATAAATAATATCAAAATCAGAAAAAAAACTACACAATTAACATGGAAGAAATATTGGAAAAATATAAATTGTTAATATGTCTATTTATAAATTAAAGATTCTATTATATTATTAAAAAAACGATGTAATCATTTTTATCAAGTTATCTCCATATAATGTAAACCTTACAGAATGTTTTTTTTTGAAGAGTTTGTTGGCATATCCTTCAAAGAATTTTTCGTAGAATTTTGTCCCATAAAAATTAATAAAGTTTATTGAAAATAAAAATGACGTTTTAGTCTTATATAGATTGCAGTGAAATTAATTTAATATAGAAATGTATTAAAAAAATGTATAGTATTGACATACTCTTCATTTTAAAAATGTTAAAGTTATTCAGGAGATCTTAGTAGGTTCTTGGGAATTTTTGTAATGATTCTTGTGGGGAGTGAATGTTAAATGTTGGCCACACCACTCAGTATATCTATTATTAGCTCTTGCGGTCGATAAACTCTGGCACTTACGTCTTTCTGGCCTGATCGACCTTACCCCAAAGTGACACATCCATCCGCGCATAAAGTATACTTAAAGTAAATTCGACATATTTTTATATTCTTTG